CGTAATCAAAGTCGACAGTGAAGAGGAATAAATTCGAAAAACCATAAAAAAACTATTTTCCTCCATAAGCCTCCCCTCCCCCTCAAAATTGTCCAAACAAATTCGTTTTTTGGCAATTTTCAACAAGCGATTTTGTTGCCCCAAACAAGACTTGTTTGACAACGTGTTTGTTTTTCTCTCAGTGTAGAATAGAAATATCTTGGATTTGACGATCAGAGAGAGTTTTAAAGACGTAATCAAAGTCGACAGTGAAGATGAATAAATTCGAAAAACCATAAAAAAACTATTTTCCTCCATAAGCCTCCCCTCCCCCTCAAAATTGCCCAAACAAATTCGTTTTTTGGCAATTTTCAACAAGCGATTTTGTTGCCCCAAACAAGACTTGTTTGACAACGTGTTTGTTTTTCTCTCAGTGTANAAATGAAACAATAATAATGATATGATAGCAATCTAATAACTGAGGGATAAAATATTTGTTGATAAATTTTCCTCTGTATGAGATATTTTCATCCTGAAGAGGCAGCGTCGGGTGTGAATTAACCGCCTCTTGAGCCAAATATTTCGTTGCTGTCGAATGCAGAGCAATTATTCATATTCGAGCCTTTCAAATTCGAGCCAAACAAATTCGTTTTTTAGCAATTTTCAACTAGCGATTTTGTTGCCCCAAACAAGACTTGTTTGACGACGTGTTTGTTTTTCTCTCAGTGTAGAATAGAAATATCTTGGATTTGACGATCAGAGAGAGTTTTAAAGGCGTAATCAAAGTCGACAGTGAAGAGGAATAAATTCGAAAAACCATAAAAAAACTATTTTCCTCCATAAGCCTCCCCTCCCCCTCAAAATTGCCCAAACAAATTCGTTTTTTGGCAATTTTCAACTAGCGATTTTGTTGCCCCAAACAAGACTTGTTTGACAACGTGTTTGTTTTTCTCTCAGTGTAGAATAGAAATATCTTGGATTTGACGATCAGAGAGAGTTTTAAAGACGTAATCAAAGTCGACAGTGATGATGAATAAATTCGCAAAACCGTAAAAAAACTATTTTCCTCCGTAAGCCTCCCCCTCCCCCTCCCCTTATCAGCATCCACCCGCCTGCATGTCATTTACTTCGTTGTTTCTAGTCAGACAAGCTCGCCTCAGTCGTAACAGCCTCATCTATTGTTGAACAGTGCCCCAAGACCGGAAAACAGGGTGCAGTCCCTCCAGGGAAGCCCCAACAGTCGTCGACCCCGTCGGATCGCAAGAGTCCAAGTTCGATATCAGCGAGCAGCCCCAAGCCCCTGACAACCCCACCCACGAAGACCAGCACCCCAGCTCCAGAGTCAGACAGTGAGGACGATCGCCCCAAGAGCTCGGACTCCTCGTCAGCCCCGAAGGTGCCACCCCTGAAAATCGTCATTCCCCAGACAACTGAGCAGGAGCAAACGAGAAACGGCAAGAACCCCTCGACCAGGGGCCACCAGCTGCCCTACGTGGTGGCCAGTTCCAACTCCAACGACTCCACCGACAAGGACCAGACGCAGTCGACATCGGGGACGACGAGCCCCACAGAAGCCTCAGCCTCATCAAAGTCAGAGGAGAAGAAGGACTTCTCAGGGGCTATTCACAGCGAGGAGAGGTCCACCCACCACCAGAGGGTCCTCAGAAGCGCTCACAGGTAGGGATTTTTGTCATTTACACGTAGATTACGTCACTAGAGATGCAAAATGACCGTAATTTTTTAGATCGCGTCATATGACCAAAAATGACGGTCCTGTGACGGTCATGTAACGCACAAATTTTCCAACTACAAATGATTGTCACAAATCATTTGAAACCAAATGAAATGAAATGATTAATTCAGTAGTGAAGCGGTAAACCGAGTTAAGTCGATTTTAACTATTAGCCAGTTTTTGCTGAATATCTCGGAATCTAAGAGAGATAGCAAAATTTTTCTCATGACTTTTTTTAGACCGCTCTATTGGCTCTACAAAAAAGGTCATGACAAAAATCTTTCTATCTCTTTTAGATTCCGAGATATTCGTCAAAAACTAGCCAATAGTAAAAAACGACTTAACCCGGTTTACCGCTTCGCTACTGAATTTGAAACCAAATGAAATGAAATGATTTGTGACAATCATTTGTAACCAAATTGTTGTCAAACCATCTATATAGTTGCATAATGACGGTCATAACTAATTTCCAATTTGTGACAGTCGTGAATAAAACAGAATAGTTTCATCTATATGGATGGAAAAAAATGGTGATTTCCATTTCAAAATGCGGATTAGGCCAATACAAAAGGAATTCAACTGAAAATTGACCGAGAAAAAAATAAAGTTTCATCTATATGGATGAAAAATGACTGTCATTTTTTAGATCGCGTCATATGACCAAAAATGACGGTCTTGTGACGGTCATGTAACGCACAAATTTTCCAACTACAAATGATTGTCACAAATCATTTGAAACCAAATGAAATGAAATGATTAATTCAGTAGTGAAACGGTAAACCGAGTTAAGTCGATTTTAACTATTAGCCAGTTTTTGCTGAATATCTCGGAATCTAAGAGAGATAGCAAAATTTTTCTCATGACTTTTTTTAGACCGCTCTATTGGCTCTACAAAAAAGGTCATGACAAAAATCTTTCTATCTCTTTTAGATTCCGAGATATTCGTCAAAAACTAGCCAATAGTAAAAAACAACTTAACCCGGTTTACCGCTTCGCTACTGAATTTGAAACCAAATGAAATGAAATGATTTGTGACAATCATTTGTAACCAAATTGTTGTCAAACCATCTATATAGTTGCATAATGACGGTCATAACTAATTTCCAATTTGTGACAGTCGTGAATAAAACAGAATAGTTTTATCTATATGGATGGAAAAAAATCGTGATTTCCATTTCAAAATGCGGATTAGGCCAATACAAAAGGAATTCAACTGAAAATTGACCGAGAAAAAAATAAAGTTTCATCTATATGGATGAAAAATGACTGTCATTTTTTCTTGACAAGTTGTGACGGTCACAGAAGGGGGAGGGGGAATTGTGACAGCCGTCATGAACGCCTCGTCATGTGACCGTCATATGACGGGTCATGTGACGCAGGCTAACGGGGACATATAAACATAAATAAATTCTGAAAGCAGAGAGTGATTGCAAATTGTTTGGTGGGCAGTGGTACCCCAAGCTCCCAACCCCAGGGCCCATCGATTAAAATCGAATTTTTTAACAATTCCATACTAATGTTCATTGAATTTTCCATTTCCCGTTTCGGCATTATTCATAATTTTACTGAAATCTCGGAAAAAATCGTGAAGAATGTGAAGAAAAAATAGCCTAGTCTTGACGCGAATTTTGAGATAGCTTTGTTTTAAGTCAGAAATGATCGGAAAATGGTAAATTTACGACTGACTTGAGACATGTAAAAAATAATCCTCATTTTGAATCTCTCACAGGGGCAATGGCAATGGATCCTCGAACTCGAAGGACTCCAACTCGAATCAATCAGGAAACGGCAGCTACTCGAACTCGTCTCCTCTCCCAGCAGCTGATCGATCAAACAACACATCCCCTCAGCCGCCCGCCACTGAAGGCCCAGCGGAGCCAGCAAAAAGCGCCTCAGAGCCGGCGGCTGCTGCCCCCAAGGCGACTGCCAACTCTGAAAAGTCAGAGAAGAGCGAGGGGAATGGGAAGAGCACGAAGGAGGGCTCAGAGAGCTCTGAGAACTCCTCTGGGTCGTCCAATGCCAATGCCAGTGTGTCGACTGCTGCTCCGGTGGAGCTCCACCCCAGGAAGAGGAAGATGAAGCCAAGCAAGGAGGCTCAGCAGGCGGTGGCTGCCTCCAATGAAGCCAGCGAGACTGCCAATGCTGGCACTGAGGTACATCCACACGATCAACCCATCACCAATTGCTATCAGCTGTTCTTGAATATCAGGAAGCAGATCGAGAGGAGGAGGAAGGGACTGTTTCCTGTGCAGCCTAAACCCCCGCAGGGCTTCAAGGACTATCTGATGAACAGGTGCACGTATGTGCTGGCGGGGAATGCCAATAAGGAGCCCAATGTCAATCCTCCGGGGAGCCTGCAGGGGCCCATGAAGGAGTTGTATGTCGAGCAGGAGAAGGAGAGGTATGTGATGGAAAAATTGGGCTATCACTGAGAGAAAAACAAACTCGTTGTCAAACAAGTCCTGTTTGGGCCAATAAAATCGACAGTTGAAAGTCTCAAACGTGAATAATTTTTATGCTTTCGACAGCAACGAAATATGGCTCAATGGCTCAAATTTTTTTTATCACAGGTACAGGCTGAGGATGCAGCATGTCGTGGAGAAGGAGAAGCTGGTGCTCTCGGTGGAGCAGGAGATCCTGAGGGTTCATGGGAGGGCCGCGAGGGCACTTGCCAATCAGATTCTGCCTTTCTCTGTCTGCACTATTCTGAAGGACGAGGAGGTTTACAATGTTATCACTCCTGAGCAGGAGGAGAAGGACAGGAATCAGAGGAGCAGGTACAATGGGAGACTCTTCCTCAGCTGGCTGCAGGATGTTGATGACAAGTGGGAGAAAATCAAGGTGAGGAGATGTATTTAAAAATTTTTTTCATTCCATTTTTTTCTCAGCAACTCCATTTTTTTATAGCAAAATTAATTTTTTATCGATTCTTTAAAGGGGGATAAATAATCTTTAAAGACCAATAGATTTAAAAAAATAGGAATAGTAATTAATTTTTTTTTTTCAAAATTCTAATTGCGGATTTTTTTGGCTCTTCTTTTCTCTCTTTAAACTACAAGATTAAATGAGAAATTTATTTTGAGAGAAAGTAAGAGACATTTATTTACAAATCCTTATTATTAAGAAAAATATTTATATTTTCAAACTGAACGATGAAAAAGAATAGAAATACGTGCTTTTTATTCTTTTTAATCTGACAGTTTGAAAAGAGAAATATTTTCCATCGAATTTTTTGCTGGAATGGATCAAAATGTGATTCCATTTTTCTTCTCAACAGCTGCATTTTTTTTTACAACAAAATTCATTTTTGATCGATTCTTTAAGTCGAAGGAACCATTGAAAGTGGGATAAATAATCTTTAAAGACCAATAGATTAAAAAAAATGGGAATAGTAATTAATTTTTTTTTTCAAAATTCTAATTACGGATTTTTTTGGCTCTTCTTTTCTCTCTTTAAACTACAAGATTAAATGAGAAATTTATTTTGAGAGAAAGTAAGAGACATTTATTTACAAATCCTTATTATTAAGAAAAATATTTATATTTTCAAACTGAACGATGAAAAAGAATAGAAATACGTGCTTTTTATTCTTTTTAATCTGACAGTTTGAAAAGAGAAATATTTTCCATCGAATTTCTTGGTGGAAGAAATCAAAATGTGATCAATAGTTTTCAGAGTGCAATCATCAATTAGAAAAAAATAACGATAATGATAATTTTGCAGGAAGCAATGCTGCTCAGGCATCACAACGAAGCAGAGTCCCTCCACGCAGTTCAACGAATGGACTGGGAGTGGAAGCTGAAGGAAGTTGGTCTCTGCGAGTTTAAAGCAACTCCTCAAATCGACGATCTCCATGTGCCCATCGTTCACGTCTCTGACGATTTCGATCTCCTCCCAGCTTGAATTTTTTCACTCACGAGGCCATTTCACCACAGTTGAGACCCCTTATTTTTTGAAATCATCATCACCACGAATAACGAAAGGACAAATCATGTGTAAAAATATGAAATTGTGCCTGGATTCAGACAAAATGTCTCCAGAATATTCATCAACATTTTTTAATCAGTTGAAGCCACGTGCTGTGATCTCTACTTCATTTCGACAAATTCTGCGAACAAATGAATCAATTCACTGTAAATATTTTGTAATTAGAGATATTAGGGTAAGAATAAAGAGATGTTTTTGGGATAAAATAGTGGAGTCGATGTTGAATTGTGAACTAGTTATATTCAATCTTTCTTTGGCTTGTCACAGGGCACAGATTTGAGGGCTTCTGGCTCATTTAACTGGAAGTCCATGGGCTTGTCGTAGCCGAGAATTCTATTGTAGTGGGCGATCTCTGTGAAGCTTTGAAAGTCAAAGAAGAGGGGAGTGTTGTGTACGTAGCAGGTTGTTAACATCTCACGCATTCCTGGCTTTGACACGTCGTCCGGAGTGAATTCAATCTGGAGAATAAAATTCATTGCGTAAAAAACAAATTTTTTCATTTCTGATAATTGCATTTATCTCCTGAACGAGTGAATTTACGAAGAAATCTCATAAGAAAGTTTTTGTAGAAAATTAAATTTCCAACAAAAAATGCTATTTGACATTTCCTCCTAAATCGACTCCTCGCGGAGATAATTACAAAGTCCCCCAGAGCAAAAATCAATGGCATAAAAAACTGAAATTTAATTTCTGACGATTCTTTATTTATCTCAAAAACGAGTGGATTTACGGTGAAAAGTCAATAGATACTTCTTGTAGAGAATTAAATTTCCAACAAAAAATGCTATTTGACATTTCTTCCTAAATCGACTCCTTAATGGGATAATTTAAAAAATCCCTTACACCTTCAAAAATCAGTTTTGCTATTCTTTTATCATTTTTCATTAATCAATGCCTTACCTGTCTCTTTCTAACAAAAATATTGTAAACAGTGGCGATATAGACATCCCTCTTTTCATCATACGTCATCCTGGTGACATATTTTCTCGTGATGAGATTGAGCAGAAAAGGAGTCCCGACACTGAAGAATCCAGTCGTGAGGGCAACACCAACGAGAGCAATTGTGCTGTCAGTAGCCAGAACCTTCGGCAGGAGGTACGGCTGCATCAGGATACTCGCGAGGGAGGTGGACAACGAGAAGATCTTCACGCCCTTCATTTTCTTGGTCAGCGTCCCCTCGTAGATCGTTTTAACGTGAGATTCTTCAGTGCTTTGAAGTCTGAGTTGTAACACCGAAGGGAATCCCTTTAATCAACAGTTTCAATCAACAATAACTCGAAATCGGCTGAGTGAAACTTCACGATTTTCATTTCATTTTGAAGGTATTTTCTTAGGCTTCAAAATGAGCACAGACTCGGCCAAATCGCATCGTTTGTTCCGGAGATATTGATGACTGAAGGAGACTGTTTTCCTCTCATCATCTCCAATCATCAGTTAACTTCGAGGATTTTTTTTTACTATTATTACCTTTATTCTGATGTGATTGACAATTACATTGGGAGTCAGTTTGTTCACTCCCGACGTCTGCACTATGAAGTCACAGCTTCTGGCGAACATCCTCGTCCGCGCGAGGAACGACATTTCTCACTGAATTTATGGGGCACTTATTCTAGGTTTAATCAGGCATGTGGAGGTGCAGTGAAGTGGTTTGATGATTTTTTTAATTGTTTAGGGGGTTCTGAGGTGTGCGGAGGCGGTATAAAAATAACACGACGAACTAACCTAAATTGAATGCTCGTGGGATGTAGGCAAGGTAGGAATTGGGAGGAATTTTTTCCTGAGTCGATAATGTCGCGATTTTTCGTGTTTTGGGGTTAGTGTCTTGTTTAGATGCTGTATGGCGTTGGGCTCATGGTTTCGGAGAGTTCGACTGCCTCGCGATGTTGGAGAAGGACAAATGCCACTGGTGAAGTTTAATAATGAATTTTGTTGACAATGTGAAGTGATGTGTGACGAAATGTTGGAGATTCGAGGGACGAGGGATTAATACACGTGGGGGATTCGTTCGTCTTGAGGAGATGGTTCGATGGTTGTGGAGGCGAAGGGGTGAGTGATGAAGACGATTGACTGATGACAGTTACTTGATTGTTACTGATTTTTCACTCATTAATTAAATAGTAAAAACCAAAAGTTCGTAATGTACAATTTTCCAATTGCCCAATTTTTTTTCATTCTCACGACATTTTCTCGAACTTCAAAACAAATTTTAACTGATCCAGTGTTTCATTTAAGGGGAGACGGGACCCCTCTGTCTACATCAAATCTTAGAATTGTGTTTTCTCCTACAATTATCAATTTCTATCTATGAAATTACTTTATCGACTCGATTATCGCATTGTTGGGTCAATGAAGTAGTTTAATGACTAAAAAATAATAATTGCAGGAGAAAACATAATTCTAAAGATTCATATAAACCCAGGGGTTCCGTTTCCCCTTAAGGTGTTTCTCCTGAAAAGTCAAAATAATGAAAACAAATAGGAAAATTCACGAGAGAAAATTCTGAGTTTGCTGCGTCATTGAGAATTCTTGCGCATTTTTTTCGGATGTCAGTGTCAAGAAAAGAAATAATGAAATTTGGGTGTTTTTGTAAGCCCTCCAGCTATAACCTCCGGGGTTACCTCACTCTCAATTAGGGAAATTTCCATGGCACCCAAAAAATAATGAACTATTGAGGAAAAACTAGTGGGTGATAAATTAAATCGTTCTTGAGAACACGTATAAGTTACAGATTTTTTTCAGATTTCATAAGAAAGTTATTTGAACAAATGATTCGAAAAATTATGAGTTTCGGGGCAATCACGCCCTCACGCGCAGGCGCGTGATTCGAATGTCAGTGAGCATCTTGGGAAAGGTATGGGTTGGACCATGGAACTGAGAGAGAGAAAACACTCGACAGGTTTACCAACTCGAGACGCATTTTAATATTATTTCAATAATTAGAAAAACATCCAATAAAAATTATTTGACACCCGTAGGTGATGAGAAAAAAATCAATCAATCTGATGAATAAAATCAATATTCAAAAAATGTTCAAATGCACACTTAAATAGTTACTTGAAAATTGGAAAATTTCGTGCTCAGCGATTGAATCAGGGCTCGAGAACAATAAGGCTCCCCTTCCGTTTCACCCCCCTGTGACCTACAGGCGAAACACCTTAAGTATTAATCGCTGAAAATATCTAGGGTGGAAGCATTAGCAAGCGTTGATTATTAAAAAATTTTGAAAAAAAATTGTTTGTCGGGAATTTTATGACTTATAAAATGTTCGTCGACATTTCTTTCCACATCTCGCGGCTTCTGAGGTGTTTATAGAGTAATTTTCGTAAAATAACTTAAGAAAAGAATGGGAATTCGGTTTATATGAAGATTAGTTCGCGGAAAAAATATTTTAGAATCGAATAGAAATAACGAAATCGTCGTTTTCAAGCAGTTCTAAATATTTTTTGAAGACATACGGTGACTTAGGCCCTTTTACCCCTTCATATGTGTATTCCGGCATCGAAATATTCAGCATGATATGGTTAATTCCCCGATATCGAAAGAAGGTATTCGATCTGAATAAAATAACGTCGAGCTTGTTCATTTTTCTCGCTGAATGGCCTCTATCCCTCTAATGTAGCCTTTGTTATCTCAGTCAATATTATTTTTATACGTTCTCCCCCCCGATTTGCGAATATATCTGAATATCAACTACCCTTCGACCGAGTAAGAACCATTACCCGAGTAGTTTCCACTGGAATTGGAATGAAAAACTCAGGTTAAGGAGTGTTGAAGGTCACTTCAAGGTGACCCTGTCAGGTTCCTCAATTAATTAAATCATTATAATTTTAGTGGAGGTTATAGTGGAGGTCCTTCTGTAACTACGAAATGCGTGGAAAACGTTACGTCATGAATTCTCAACCAAAAGAGGATGGAAAAATAAGAAAGATAGCTTAGAAAATTTGTTCACTCTGCAAAAATCGGATGAATCGAGTTGAAGGTGATCTGCAGAGGATAAATAATTTTAAAAGACGTTTAAAAATGCGAGGTGGAGGCGCCGCCATCTTTGATGGCCATATCCAAGCAAGATGGCGGTGGAATAATTTCACTTCATCCAGCTTCTAAAAACGAACAAATTTTTCAAGCTATCCATCAGGTTTCTTCATCCTCTCTCGGTACTTTTTTTTTGAGGCTTTAAAAAATCGGGTCTCTCGAAGAGTTAAACAGTTAAACCGAGAGAAAATCCCGGAAAGAAACTTCTAAAAATGTTTTCCACAATTTGTGGTGGGCAATGGGTGCAGGCTTGATTCGGTCTTTTCACCGTCAAGTACCGTATGAGCCGTTTTCTTTCATACTGCCCTCAAAGGATGTCCAAATGTTTGGATACATATCCCCGTAATACCCCTGAAGGGCACGTACATAAACGTTTGCGCAGGTGATATTTCCGCAAGATTTGACACTCCCATTAGATTCAAAAGAAACTGGAAAATAAGTAAATAAATAAATGATGGAGACGTGGCCCTTTGTCTCGTTTCATTATTTTTTTTATTACGTTTTGAATAAATAATTGGCCGGCGCTGGGTAAGTACAACTGACGTAAATTCTTTTTAGCCATTTCTCCCTTTGTGCCCAGCGGCGTGGAAAATGCCACGGAGAGGGCAAAATTAACGAATCGAAAAAGACGAATAACGAGCTGAAACGCGTAAGGGTAACCATTTGTGTCAAAAGGTTACTGTCGAGTGTTCGAGCGAGTGAGTTATTGTTATTTACTCTCTTGTTTTTTCTCTTTTGATTATCCTCTGTGCTTTACTCAGTCTAGTCACAAAGTACTGTATTTTGTGCAAATGTTGATGTAATGGGAGAGACATATAATGATTAATTAAGAATCTGTCGCTTCTGAGAGCTTTCTTTTCGGTCGTCACTTCACAAACCCCTATTCGGAGTTGTTCATTGGTTGGGGCGACCCTGGGGTGCACTAGTTTATGGTTGCGCGCGCAGAAATTCCGTTAGATCGGCTCAAACGTCCCCTGCGATTGGTCCAGCGTTCATCGCGGGGTAGTGACGTCATTGTAGATCCCACAGGTGATTAATAGATTAATAACAATCAATCATCATTCATTTTTCTTTCTTTCTGATGGAAAATATTTTACTGGAGATCGGAATCGAAATGAAAAAAATAATACAAGTCACCCATGTAATTTACCTCAACAACCAATAGCCCTCCCCCAACAACAGTAGTCAAATCAAATACAAGGCTATTAACTGGGTCAACATTTCACTGCTCCTGTGGGGGGGAGGTATACACCAAGGGCTAAGGACTACTTGTCTAGCACAAAGCCGAGTGGCTCGCGCCTATTTCGCCCACTTCACTCCACCCCAATCCCCCGCACTACACAGCATCACCTTTCTGTCCACTCGAACCAACTGCACAATTCCTGGATGAAAACCCTCCCTTCCGGCTTGTACTCATTATTCTTCTCGCGCCACGTAAAACAGATGCGTTTTCAAAATCCTGTGTCAATAATTCATTTTTCCAACCCCAGTGGATCCCTCGTCTCGATATATTGTTTTAGGGCCTTGTAATATAATATATATTATATTATGAGCTGTTACGTATTTTTTTGGTATCTAAAAAAAAATTCAGAGAATTCCAAGCAATAATTTTTGTTTAAAAAATAATCTTATTGAGTATTTTTTGACCATTGTAATTATTTTAAAAATCTGATGACAATGGGTTGGCCTAAGCAGTCTTCAGAAATTTTATAGAAGTAGAAACGAAGTTGAAGTTGAAGAATTCTTTGCGATCGCCTAACGTTTCGTCTTCCGAGGAAGACCTCATCAGGGGCTTCTTCATCATTCCAATGTTCTAAATCAATACAAATCGAATAAATTATAACCGGAAACACCTGTTTTTTTTATTTAAATAAAAATGTTAACACACACAGATTACATTGGGCCATCGCAAAGAATTCTTCCACTTCAACTTCATTTCTACTTCTATAAAATTGCTGAAGAGCGCTCAGGCCAACGATTGCCATCCGATTTTTAAAGTAATCTTGTAATATAATATATATTATATTATTTTAAAAATCTAATGACAATGGATTGGCCTAAGCGGTTTTTAGCAATTTTATAGAAGTAGAAATGAAGTTGAAGAATTCTTTGCGATGGCCCAACGTTTTGTCTTCCGGGGAGGACCTCATCAGGGGTCTTCTTCATCATTCCAATGTTGTAAATCAATACAAATCGAATAAATAAAAACCCGAAACACCTGTTTTTTTTTAACTAAAAAAAATGTTAACACCTAAAGATTGCAGTGGGCCATCACAAAGAATTCTTCCACTTCAACTTCCTTTCTACTTCTATAAAATTGCTGAAGAGCGCTCAGGCCAACGATTGCCATCCAATTTTTAAAGTAATCTTGTAATATAATATATATTATATTATTTTAAAAATCTAATGACAATGGATTGGCCTAAGCGGTTTTTAGCAATTTTATAGAAGTAGAAATGAAGTTGAAGAATTCTTTGCGATGGCCCAACGTTTTGTCTTCCGGGGAGGACCTCATCAGGGGTCTTCTTCATCATTCCAATGTTGTAAATCAATACAAATCGAATAAATAAAAACCCGAAACACCTGTTTTTTTTTAACTAAAAAAAATGTTAACACCTAAAGATTGCAGTGGGCCATCACAAAGAATTCTTCCACTTCAACTTCCTTTCTACTTCTATAAAATTGCTGAAGAGCGCTCAGGCCAACG